AATTACATGTACATGTACGTATTCCGCGCCGATCGTATTGTCAACCAGAATAGGAAATAATTCATTACGAATAATTTTCTTTCACCTTCACCGTCGTTCGTCAATACTTTATCGATTATCTGGAAGAAGACGATTATCTATTACAGAGAAACAATCAAACGATTATTGTTCAATTCTTTCTAGAAAATTACAACCAAAGAAAATACTAACATTAGAATTAGCGTAGTAATTGGTATAATATCCAATAATTAGTATAATAACCTGAAATAAATAGAAGTAGTGTAAAGAGTCTGTGAAAGATATGCTTTGATCAAATAAAATAACAAAGTTCTTACCTGTAATAATAATATTACTCGTGAATACACTATTATTTTATTATTTCTGGTTAACTTCAAATCTTGCAAGCAAAGTAACAAGTAGTGGATGTTCCTCCACTCTAAATAAGCCGTCGATTTCTTTTGAATTGTTATTTTGTTTCCTTGGACAGGCCGTATCAATAAGTCCTGTTGTATTAATTTTGTTTCTTTGTACAGGCCGTACCAATAAGTCCTGTGTGTTTGAGATTACCCTGATTGCCAACGAATAACGATAGATAGAATTTTATTGATTTATTATCGATTTTCTTTACAAGACTGTTCTATTTACTATCCTATTTGAAACGTCCCTAATACTAAAAAGGTCGATTTACGTACAAGTCGCCACAGGAAACCCTTAGAACACCCAAAAAAACCCTTTGATCGTAAATAATTTAGTCTAGCACTCATCCAGTTGTGAAAAACCCCTCTTTGACCGATTATCGTACCGAGATGCACCAGTACTCTAGTACTCAATAATGCGAATTACGGTACGTAACGATAAGAATTCAGCATTAAATTGACATATCACGATTACGCCTAAAAACATGTATTTGCTGTTTCCATTTGGGCAGTGTTGTCATTTGGACAAGACATGGACATGGACAGGACAATTTATAATTATGTCCAAGAATAAATAGAATTCAAAATATCAATTTATCAATATACATGATAACGATGTAATTGAATAAACCAATTGCTAGGATCAAAAAGCAATAAAAGAATATTGCGTTAGATTTACCTGTATTATCTTTATATCGTAAATTTCCAAAATCAACTAGTGAAAAATATTTGACAGCTGTAACTATCATTATGATAATATCAATATACGTAACGGTAATTACTATTAATATTATAGAACTTCAATTTGTATTGCATAACATATTACACAATATAGTAAAAAAGAATATTTTACTATTTACACACAACAATAGAAGTTATAAAAGCCTTCTGTTTTATGCTTTCTGTCTCCTTTTTATCACATCGTTTAATGCGTACGTGTTTACTCTTCTTTTTAACTCATATTTAGTGTTAATACATGTTGTTGGGCGTACGTAGTATTCCTGTGTCATTTTTCATACATAATCGATAAAAACACAGACGGAAGTGAACGGTGACTTTCATACAGAAATAAATCATCGTTTTTTTTAATAAAACACTGCCATAATCACTAATAAACTCAAAGGTGACATGTAATACTCACGATTGTGGTAAATGTGGCTATTGTCGACGTGATTGCTACTGTAACAAGTGTTCAATTCACAATATTCATGATTGTAGAACTCGTTGCCAAGAAAATTGATTGTTTTCTATATCACGAACAAATTTATAAAGCTAAATGGCTTAGTGAAACTAAATATATCGACAGTCTAATAAAAGAATGCAACAGAATTGCTGGTGAACAAGATTCATCTTTCTAATGGATCCCTTTTGAAAGATTTACCAATGTTGAATATCTTGCAAAATGAGGTTTGTAAAGCATCCTGGCCTGGTTGGACGGACAATAAGAAAGTAGGATCATGAAGTTGTATTGAAATTATTACACAATTCAAAGTAAATTACATCAGAGTTATAATGAAATCTTTTAAGTATATTACTTTTGTTTTTCAATCTAATTAACTTTTTCAAAATTAGATTCAGATCGTCTAAAGTGCACTGTTGATATCAGCAATTATGGAAAATCCAGCTACAATACTCGATAGTGATGGATTATGGCGATCTACACATATACATGTACATGTATATGAATTCCAACTGAATTGGTACAACAAATTAAATTATTTAAGAGATATCGTGGGTTAAATGCATCGTGACTTTCACCCTGGAAATATATTAGTTTTCCTAGTATTGTTGATTTTGACTTAGCAAACCAGCAGATGTAGATTTGCGGAGTACTTCCTTATATGAGTCCAGAGGTACTAAATGGAAAACAATACACTAAAGCTGCAGATATTTATAGTTTCGGATGATAATATAAGAGATTGCCACAGTTGAACGACCATTTTGTGGGCAGAGTCATGGTATAGATCTCGTATTAGACATATATAACGGAGTAAGACCTACGATACCAAATAATGTTCCTAAATTATTATTGAAAAATGTTGGGATCCTATTCCAAAAAACAGATCCACTGATAAGGTTCTTTATTACTTTATTTACTCTTTCTTCTGTGTCAATAATAACGATGACGAGTGGGAACTGAATACTTCGCATTTTCTGCATTTTCTGCACTACAGCTCTTTAGAATATCCTAAGGCACATGAAGAAATTAAAGAGTGTCTTAAACAAGAAAAGCAAAAATTGGAGGGACTTGATAAGGAGATGAAATTAAAAAAGAGTGTTCCTACGAATGCGAACAAAAAACACCAATGCAGTTTATACCAGTTGAGACTTTACCACAAAATTAATTTCAATTACAACTGAGACAGGTACTTTTATTTTGAATATACTGTAAACCATATTAGCATTTAACAGTAATTAAAATTCATTTAAAATTTATAGGAATGTCAAGTGTCAGTTTGATTGTTCCAAACGAAGATAAATTAAATTGATTATTTTTTCATTAATCGCTTTTATTCATTATTATTTTTTCTTTGTGTGCAAAACAAATTTTTATCTTAGAATACCACATGAAATCAAAGAGAATGAAAAAATATCGATTGACTTGCAAGAAAGACTACAGATTCATGATGAAACACTTCTAATAAAGTAAACAATACCGATATATTTTAGGCTTTATAGAACTTAACGTTACCGTTACTGCAAAATGTCAAAAAACTTACAATTGCTATCGATATGTAATGAATATCACAAAGTTGAAGGTCTAAAGATTGCCAGTCTAATAAAAGAATGCGCAGAAATTACTGATAAACACTAAAAAATTTATAATGATAAGACATTATTATATGGTTACAAGTGAGATCATGAAAAAAACAAATTACGACAAAGAAGTTGTATTGAAATTAGTGATGTTTTTTGGTTTGATGGTTTGGAGGTAGGTGATTTAGATGAAATTGTTAATTTTATTTAAAAGTTATTATAATTTTGAATAAGCAATTTAATTTAAAATATTATAAACTGTAGGGTTAATTAATAGTTCCTAATAAAATTATAATCTCAAAATTTAGTAAATTTCTCAAATTATATGGTTCAAACTGATGGTTCAAACCAGTGGTTTAAGTAAAATTACTAATTTTTAAACTTTATGCTAATTGATTTTGATTAAGAGATCAAAAAGAAATAATTAAGTCAATTATTAGTAACTTTAATCAGGTAAGTAAACTGATAACATCCCTAGTTGAAATCATTACATAATTAGAAGCAAATCATGGGAGTTTATAAACGAACCATTACTAAAGTGTAAAAACTTACTTTTTTGTTTTTTAATATAAACAAGCTTTTCAAAAATATATTCAGACTTCTTTAAAATGTACTGTTACCATTCTCAACAAAAATTTCATAATTCCATCATTTTTATTTTATACAAATTATGTTGTATCATAATTTTGTCCATTGATATTCATATTAATTTGGACTTTCATTTTCAGCTTGTACATGTACATATACACAAACAACCATTGTGGATGCATCTGATGTTTCGTTGCATCAAAATTACGTAATGTTAAATGAAACTACATGTATTTGTAAGACCCGGAGATTGAATCCTTTATTTTTATTCTCATTTAATATAATCATGATAAAATTTAACAAAGAAACAATAAAAATGTTACACAAACACAGCATCGTGTATCAAAATTAACGTTAAACGAAACTAGATTTGTAAGATCTATAATTGATCAGGAGATTGGAATTCTTTTTCAATTAAAAGAATTGCTATAAAAAGAAATTACATGTACTATTTTTATTTAGATCGAATTCTTATTTATAAAATTTTATTAAAACAAATGATAATGATGGTGGTGTAACAAACATGATTGTGATTTCGATAATGTAAAATACTTATTAATTGCTCTCCATAAAATATTTGATGAATTATGAGAACTCTATCCTTACTATTTTCGAATTAAGCATATAAACTTAAAAACTAGATTGACATTATAAAATACCACTGGTACTATATTGCAACAATCAGTATAATACCAAATGGGAACAGTAGAGGTGATTTTCTCCTCGGAAACATCATAATTTTTGTCAAGATCAATCACACAAATACATTAAAGTTTGTTTTTTCTGTTGCACGTCCGGTAAAACTATTCCGATTATCTTGAACGCAGTTCGAGATACGCATATGTGTTGTTTTTCAAGATTTTGCCTTTGTGTTATATTATGACATTTTCTGTGTAATTTTAAACGGTCCGAATGCAAATGATTGACTAAATTCAAGTTTCATTTAAAGTATTTTTTAATACAAATAATAACCCCAAGACAAATTTCTAAATATATTTATTTTTCATTGGTTGTAATGTCAACACGTTTACTAAAATTAGTTTTGGTAACCTAACCTTTGATATATATATGGGCTGGGTGCAATAGAAACGGTGTAAATTGTATTAAAATTTATAATACAGTTTTATTGCACTTGGCCCATATTGTATTTTTCTTAAGAAATTTTATTTTTTTAGTTAGCTAATTTCTAAATATATACGTAATCATTTTTCGATTTTGGTATTTGAAAGATTAGCATCAATGGCCACTTACGAAACTCTAATGAAGAAATTACTAGATCCTGTACCACAATACGTTTTTAGTATTATCCCAGCTGTCTTGACAGCAGGTGCTGCACCAAAACATGCTTTTTTGGATAAATTAATATGGGTAGGACAATGTCTTAGTTGTCCATTTATGGGGTTACTTTACACCTGCAACGTAAAGAGTGATGAAATAACAACATACTGGCTCCGCAAATCTCATTTTGTGGAGGTGAAAATTAAAGGAGAGGAGAAAATCGAAACAGAAATCTCTGTCAGACCTGTTGGACATCGCGCTATGGTGATAATTAGATCTGGAAATATCGCGAGATTCGTTGAACAACAACCCAATTCAAATTCATTGAGAGAAAGATTGGAAAAATTATCCGAATTGAACAATACCGTGCTAGAAAGATTGGAAGAAGAATGCATAGCAAATGCCTCTGTGCTGGAAAGATTATCGTCGCTGACGTTGGCATATTATATATTGATCGGCATAATTGCTGGAATAGCAAGAGTGATAGGACCGTTCTCTTGTGAGGATTGGCCATATATACCATTAGCGTTTTGTTGGACGCTAACAGCGATCTACAGAAGAACAACGCACGGGGAATTACTAGTAAAGGATCCTGAGAAGAAGATAAAAAGCGAAAAAATATATGTAATGAACTCCGACGACAATGACAATAAAGTACAAACACATACCCGTGTTGTACTCACTTTTTTGGCATCAATGACAGTACCTTGGATCTCAGTATTCTTGGCCTACTTAACACCACCAGTCGGTTTTTTTTGTCGGAGCAAGTATCTCACAGTGCTTTGTTCCATATGGTCATTAAACAGTCTTGTTGCATACATCCACCATTGGATAGAAGAAAGAAACAAGACTGTTGATCTTATAATTCATGTGTGGCTTACTGTTTCCGGCGTGGCAGTAGCCATGCTTTTATTTGTTTTAGCTATGCTAATCAGTGAAAGTTTATGGTGGGTAAGCCTGTTTGGAAAATCTTGTGATGATTCGGGCATATGCTCAGTTTAGGACTTTATAAATTTAATATTAAACAATTTATTTAGTATAATACATATACATGTACATTTACTTAGTGAATTAACTTTTTGGTTTATAGAATCTTTTGTATTTAGAAGCCTTTTTGTATAAACTCCGTTTATTATTGAAAGCGTCAGCATAAAGGAATATTATACAGGCAATTCATTTTTAGCAAAATATTACGTACTTGCACTGGACTGACTAGATAAAAACAAAGATCTATTCAAGTTATGCTAACATATGAAATGTTTATTTTTATAATATGCATAAACTTCTCAGCTAAAAAATAAATTCAAAATTTAATCAATAAATATTGTAGAATGAGCCTTTCTCTACCATATTTACGGATTAAATTTCGAATTTATTTTTTAGTTGAGAAGTTTATGCATATTACAAAAATAAACATTTGATGACCTCATATGTTATTTACAATAATTTTCGAAATCATATTTATATGTAAGTTTTAACGATCATTTGATGTTTAATCATTAATCGAAATTAAACCATTCAGCAATTATTCAACAACCATTTGGCAACCATTCAGAGCTGGTTTCTGAATGGTTACCGAGTGGCAGCGACTTGCGCCATTTAACCGATGAATGGTTGCCAAATGTGGTTGTTTTTTTCAATTTCGACTAGTATTAATATTATATTCGGATGTTATTTTGCTAATGTTGGTATCGTACATCGATAATATCATTATGTCGAGCTTTGACTCTATTAAGGGCAGCGTAGATGAATATGCTTACAGATTTTCATAGGATCTTACAACAAAGACGAACTATTTGCGTAAAAGATGCGTAGATATCCCGTTCAATTAAATGTAACGAAGATGAAAGTAATCAATAGGAAGAATTTTGTTCTTTGTATTTATGTGGCCAGATTTTCACGGACCGGATAATTATTAATGTTGAATATCTTGCAAAGGGAGATTTAGAACAATTCATAAGCAACCCTGGCTGATGGACCATTAACTAAGAGGTGGACCATAAAGAAAAATACACATTCAAAGCAAATTACATTAGAATTAAATTTTTAATCAATTTCTAAAGTGTAAGCACGTTGCTTGCTCTAAAGATACAGTTTACATTTGATCTGCCCAAAAATTCAAAAAGTATTTCGCGAAATTTAGTTCTGATAATTCTCCGGAAAAATTGTGCTCGTTTTCAGTAGAAAAAGGGCTACATTGTAAATATGACCGTCATAACCAGCGTTGTCACGGGAAAATTCCAGTGAGAGTCAAAAGTAAAAATTCATGGAAATTAACTAGATAAATTTATACAATGTAATATAAGGATAACATATTGATAATTAGTTTATACTATTAATAAATTTTCTGATGACTGGAATCTTCCAGTGGCGTTTCCATCAATATTAATTTTGCTTCGAGTGACTTTCCGGTGGGCTTCCAGTAACAACACTGGTCATAAGCTCATACTGCTCACGCGTATCATCTTTCTTATACTCTGAGAACACAATTAATGGGTGGATAAACGGATGCAAAAAAATCACGTTAATCTGCGTCCTTCAAATCAATGGATAAACGAGATAGATTACGAGATAAAATATATATATCTTCATATGGTCACCGCCTTTTCAGGCTGCTTTCCAAAGCGCTCTCATGTTTCTCTGATCCCATTTTCTCGCAACGTTATTATAATCATATCCTTGCTCGAACTGTTCAAGCAAGTCAAATCATTTTTGTATGGTGCATAACATCTAAAGTCATCAAACGTTTGTATTTTACAAAATGTATAAAATTCTTTGCCAAGAAGTAGATACAAAATTTAATTCGTGAATATGTTCAGAAAGGGGCTATTCTATCATATTCACGGTTTAAATTTTGTATTTACTTCTTAGTAAAGAAGTTTATTCATTTTACAAAATACAAACGTTTGATAACTTTAGATGTTATGCACCATAAATACATGTATTATGTCTATATAAAAATCATTCATTATATTTTGTGTTTGCGTTGCTCATTTGAAAGTACGTATGTCATCAAAAAAACAAAAATTAATTACTGACAGCTAAACAGAATTGCCGCTTCTTTCCTTCAAGTTAACGTGATTGCAATTCCCACTTACTCGCGTAGCACCAATTAATATGATTTTTAACCGATAGCGATTGTATTTATTATAGCTTTTAATTTTCATTTTCTACACTGAAATGAACATAGATTCAACACTAGCTTTAATATATTCGGGCTAATGAAAGCAAATCAACATTAAGATAAAATGTATTGTATATTGATATTTATTCATGATCATAGCGATATAACGACAATAATAACATGAAAACGACCATGACTATTAATTTTATAAACCAACATGACAGCAATTTTTTAACTCTTTAAATACAATATCTAATCACAGCCAAAAAAAAAGGAAGTTATACTCATATTTGACTTGTACATGCATGAGAAATTGTTATAATTCAGGATAAACCTCTAATAACTGCAAGACTATAGCAAAAAATGAAAGTTTATCTAACGCTAATGGTTTGATAGAATTCGTAAGTAAACTTTATTGTATAATTTTACTACGTACATGCACACGTATATCACCGGCGGAAATAACGCATCAATGGGTTTTGTGTCATTGCATACATAACAAACACCAATGGAAGTGCAGTATTTCTTTTAACGTTAACATTAACACAACAATAATAATCAACTTTCATATACATGTACATGTGCATCTATAAATACTCATTGCTGTCTTGTTTATTTTATCATTATTTTTAAATAAAACCATTTTCTGAAGTGAACTCAAAGATGGAATTTAATATTTCAAATACTCATGATTGTAGCAAATGTACACTTTGTCAAGAAAACAAGCATTGTTTTAAATGCTCAGAAGAGCAGTATCAACTTTATAAAGCTGGATTGTGCGAAGATAAAGATATCAATAGTCTAATAACAGATTGCACAAAAATTAATCCATTTTTTGAATGGGTCGCTTTTGAAAGATTTACCAATGTTGAATATCTTGCAAAAGGAGGCTTTGGGGTAATTTATAAAGCAACCTGGTTAGACGGTTTCTTAAAAGACGAGTGGACTTATGATAGTGATGATGATGATGAATTTAAAACAGAGAAAATTATTGTGTTGAAATCATTACATGAAACAAACAAAGTTACATCCGAGTTTAGCAACGAGGTAAATAAACAATTTCTAAAATGTAAGCAAGTTGCTTCTTTGTTTTCTAATAAATTAAATTCTGCAAAATAGATTCTGAATGCTCTAACGTGCACCATAAATTCTATGTCCCAAATAAAATATTATGGAATAACTAAAAACCCATCTACAAATGAATACTTGATAATAATGGATTATGCAGAAGGTGGCGATCTCCGCAAACATATTAATTCCAAATACAAAGGATTAGTATGGGTCCAAAAATTAAGCTATCTAAATAGCATTATCTTTCATCTGTGTAAAATTCACAAACAGGGATTGGTGCATCGTGACTTTCATCCCGGAAATATATTAGTATTGGGTACAGATGCTATCGTTAATGTTTTCATTTCCGATTTTGGCCTTACCGGTCCAAAAAACTTCAATGATCAAGAAATTTGTGGAGTACTTCCATACATCAGTCCAGAGGTGCTAATCAGAAAGCCATACACCCAAGCCGCAGATGTTTATAGTTTTGGGATGATCATGTACGAAACTGTAACAGGCAAACGACCATTCGGTGAGCGTAGTCATGATAGAGATCTTGTAGCTGATATATATAGAGGAGTACGACCTAACTTAACAAATAATCTTCCTGGATGGTGTAAATTTATTATTCTAAAATGTTGGAACCATATTCCAGAAGACAGACCAACTGCTGAGGAACTTGAAGAATTTATCATGTCTATCCGCTATCCAGAAGACAACAAAAAACTAAATTATTTACATTTTCAGTACTACAGTTCTTTAGAAGATCCTGAAGAAATTAAAGAGTGTCTTAATCTGGAATGCCAGAAAATAAAAGAACTTGATGAAAAGATAAAATTGCAAAAGAGCATTCGCACAAATACGAACAAACAACAAAAAATCCACCCAAATGCAGTTTACATCAGTCGAACCTTTTCTCAAAAACTAATTTCAATTCCAAATGATACTGGTACATTTTCTTTCAAAATAAAATCATATTGATATTTCATTATTAATTAACATTTATATCAAATGTTAGGCTTTTCAAGTGTCAGTTTGTACGTTCCAAAAAATGAAGGTAAATTACATATAATTTTATTTCTTACTGATTTCTTTAGTTCATTACTATTTTTATTTGGTGACGCAAAAACAGATTTAGATGAAACTGAAGAAAATATATCGAGTCTCTTTCAAGAACAACTACAACTTCATGACGAAACACTTCCAATATCAGACTCTTTATTGGACGAAGATATAGAGAATGAAACGAGTGGAAATATATCGAGTTACCTTCAAGAACAAGTGCAATTTCAGGATGAAACATTTCCAATATCAAACCCTTTTTTAAAGGAAACTGGTAAATACTTTATATTAAAAGAAGTTTCACTGTTAAATCTTAAATAGGGATATGAGTTTATCAGTTCAGTTCATTAACTCACGCTCACTTTTGATAATTAATAGAATACGAATAGTTGCACAACCAAAAATGTTTATTAACTTTTCTATCAAAGTTTATTTTTTATCTGCATATAATATCTTTTTTTAGGAATGTTAAGTAGTTAAATATTAACCGGTTTGGATGTAGTTTGAAATATCTTTTTTAATGCTCGTCTGAAATATGCACAAACTCATGTTATTATCAATTTAAATCTTAGTTTAACTGAACTAGTTTTTGTATCTAAATGGATTATTGTTCTTTTTATTATATCAAAATGTGCTTGATGTATTGTGTATATTTTACGATTAATTTATAAATACGTACATCATTATTCATTAGCATAACATAAATTTAGAACGACATCCTGATAACCATAATTCCAACAGCTCATAAACCCGACAAACGAAATCCGGCATCCTGACACTTAAAATCTTGACATTTTACTTCACTAATTTCATTGATTGTTATATAATGTAAACTTAATTGACAAATTATTAGATTTCTAAAATACTATGTAATTATATAAAAAGAAAAAATATAAATATCAATACATTAATTAAATATTGCGAAAAAAATAATCAATGCACTAATTAATATGTCGAAAATTGTTAATTATAAGGAAAGGTTGTGTGGAATTTCACGAAGAGATTCCATTACTGAATGATTTGCTTGATCCTTGACAACAGTTAGGATTCTTTTTTCTCTATCAATTATATTTCTCTTGGCTTTGGTTAATAATTATTAACTAATAGTAACTGTTTCATATTGTATCCCATATTTTGGAACTGATTTTTCCAGCTTATGATTCATTTTTGAAGTTACAAAAACATCTTTAACAAAGCTATATAAGAAATAATATTGAAGTGAATTCATCCATATATTCTAAATGTGTTTTTCAAACAATATTTATTGTAATACTCAACCGGGTCGGATTGGGGTCAAACCCGACCCGAAATAATTCGGGTCAGCCTAAAAAACGTTATTTTTCGTTCAATATTAATTGGAATTAAACAAAAATTTGGGGGCATATATACAATTACATTCCGAACAGCTCTGCTTAGACACAAAATACAAGTGTCTTAGTAAAATAAAAGTTATTAACGAAAAACTATTTTACGATTTTCGGATCAAACCCGATCCGAATCCGACCCGAAATTATCGGTTCGGGTTGACCTCAAATCTGATCCGACCCGACCCGAACAGAGCTTTAATTTATTGCTTATTCAAGAAGTTTTTGATAATTTAAAATGTATATTTAGTTATTATTACACAAATCTTTTTTAATATATACAGTGGACCTGAATACAGTGATACTCTCTAAGATAACACCTTGTTATAATAACATAAAATCTCTTTCCTCTCATTACTATAATAAGCTTCATAATAGTTATTTTTTCAATAGAATATATCAAGATCTAATATTTTTTTCATAATGGCATTCCTTCTTTGTACTACATATTGTTATCTTCTCAAAAGTTTGTTTTGGCTAACAAAAAAGATGATAACACACTAGTTGTGAGCTAGACTGAATAATTTATTTAAAGAGGGGTTCTTTAAAGGTTCTAAAGATCTCCTGTAATGATTTTTACAAAAATCAACACCAATGAAAGGTAAGAATCTTTTTAAGTAAAGATATTTTCAGGTAAATACTAACTAAACTTTAGTTGCTTTAATTAACAAGTAGAATTTATTGATATAACCTACAAAACAAATTGATATTCACAAATATCAAAAAATGCTTTAACACAAAAGAGTTGAACTTTTTGATGCGGTCAACAAGATACTATAATTCCAAAATCAATGTATGACTTATTTATAGTAGAGGTCTTTTACTACTAGTATGCAAGCTTTGAAGTTGATCAAGAAAAAGATTTGTTAACAAGTATATTTTATAAGTTGGCACTTTTATTGAATCAAAGCATGAGCTTTTTATACTTGAGAGAAACTCTAATTTTATAGCAATTCTTTGACTACACTAATTACATATTTTGTGTTATAGATTTACAAAAATAGAAACAAAAATATCAGCTAGAAATTATTCACAAGAAAATATTCACTAAAAATTATTAACTCAAAATTATCAGCTGGAAATTATCAGCTCAATAAAACAAACAATTATCTAAATACATAAATGAGAAAGAGTATAACAAAGAATTTTCTAAAAAGAAAAAAGGAACATAATTTTTAGTAAATATTATTTAGCACTTGAAATATTATCAGCTCGATAACACATGTACGAAGACCATTATAGGTGATGTACCGCGTAATCTGAAGACCGTTTGAATTTCTGTGAATATTCAGGTAACCGAATTTTAATAGGAACGTTTAGGCAGGTAGGTGTAATTTTTGTAATAAAAGAACTTTATTTTATTTAAATCACGATTTGTACATAAACGATCTGATTAATAAAAATCTCTTTGACGTTCAATCTATTTTTTTTTACTGATAACAATAAATCACTATGCAAACAAGATATTACAATTGATGATTGTTTTTCCCATGCAAACACAACCCCTAAAAAACATTTTTTTTCCGTTAGACGAATTTCTAATTTTGTTGAACACGATTCTATGTTACCACACGTGAAATGTCACGTGTTCACATCCATACGGGTAATATCACGTGAATTGGCATGTGTTCGTAGACTTGCCGCACCAGAGGGAAGGAATATTTATAGCCATCCCTAATTACGTTTGATATAAAAGATGGAATTCCATTATTCAATTTTGACTTGTTATAATATAAATATTTTCAATAAAATTACATGCTTTTGTACCTGTAAACCGAAATGGTATCCAACAAGCTACTCTTTCCATGGACTGGTTATCATAGAACACGATAGTTGACAGATCAATTACATGATGTGCACACCAAAACATCGTAAACTGTTTAAACTTTCGATAGAACGACTGGTTTTTTGAACATACTGACTGTCTGACAGGCTCGAAGGGTCACTTTGTTTCATTTTTCTTTTATAATGATAATTATTGCAGCGGAAATAGTTTGGTTTCATTGTTATATTTACGAATCTTTAATCGGAGGATGTCATGTTGGAAATCTTGTAACATTAAAGAAAATTTTAATTTGAATAGTTTTATATTACTGTCGATCCTTATTGCAAAAAACACAAAAGTCTCACGAAGATCCCCCAACGCCATTTCCTTCAAGCTCTTACACAACGTGAAGGTGGGTTGTTCAGAGCCCCCGACCAGCGGGGGATGCTTCCGCCTGAAATGCAAGTGTTAGTACAATTATCATACCGTGAATTTGATATATATATCAAATTTTGGATTACTCGAGTTTCACTTGACAAAAATTGTGGGATAGAATTAATTATAACAAGATGATTGGTTATCAAATATCGATGTTGAAACGTGCGTATATATCACCCTTGTTCAAAAATGCAAATCACACATACGATATGTATCAGTATCGATATGATGTAAGTATGGCCTTGGATAAGTTTACGTTTAATTCTGATTGGTTGGTTATCGTTATGTTATTATTTATTAACGTTAACGATCTACATGTATCAGAACACGTAATTATTAATTTTTCTTCTCACACCACACTTCTTTCTATTCACACTACTTTCTTGCTAACTATTTACACTCAGTGCTGAGAGATATTTCTTTAGATTTTCTTTCTTGAAATTTTCTTTTCTAACTTTTTACTTCTCTCATTATTATTTCTTTCCGGGTGGTATATCTAAAACAAAATACAAAAAGAAATCATCAACCTTCGTGGTAAAGCATCCATCCACTTTCGTGGTAATGCACCTTTACCCGGGGCAGTGAATCTAATCATAATAAAATAAAAAGCAATCACCTCTGCGGTAATGCATCCATCCACTTCGTGGTAATGCACATTTACCCGGGGCAGTGAATATAAAAAATCATAAAAATAAAAAGCAATCACCTCTGTGGTAGTGTATCCACCTCTACCTTTGCGGTAGTAATGCACATTTACCCGGGGCAGTGAATATAAAAAATCATAAAAAAATAAAAAGCAATCACCTCTGTGGTAATGCATTCATTCACTTTCGTGATAATGCACCGTTACCCGTGGGCAGTGAATATAAAAAAATAAGCAATCACCTCAATGCATCCAAACCAAGTGCATTTATACATGTATTCGGATCTTCGCCTACGATCACTTCGGTTTACATACAACTTAAAATCAATAATTCTTTTTCTTTTGAGCACTTTTGAAATCATTTTTTATTTGATATTTTTTTCTTTTATTAATTTTTTGCTCATCCATTTAATATGACCGAATATAAGGTTATAAAGCTAAGTACTAATGCTTTGGAATTCTCATTTACTGTGAATAAAATACATTTCCGATACCACGCAACAAATATTAATCAAATTTTTACTTCCAAGTCTCGAATTTCACAAGAAAAACGCGCCCTAATACACGCCCTCCGACAGGAAGGATATTCGATCCGGGAAATTGCAACATCAGAGAGGGTGGGTTTAGCTTCCGTCCATAGAATATACCATAAGAAGAGATCGGAAGTTTCGACAAGCCAAAACCCGGTCGCCCACTAACCCTCTTAGCGCGCTGCGATTAATCTACTCCGGAAAATGTACCACCGCCGTTGAAGTCCAACGTGAGCTTGAAAAGGAGTTAGAGGTCAACCTTTCGCGGAGAGCATACGACGTATGTTCCGAAGAACAGCTTATTCGCGAGGATCAAGCGAAAAAAGCTTTACTTCAAAAAAACACAGAAAACAACGATTGGCGTGGGCGAAGAAATACCGAAGTTGGACGACTAACTTATTAGCCGACCGAAACGATTGGCGACGCGTAATTTTTCTAGTTAAATTTTTGGATCAGACGGTCGAAAATATTGCTGGAAGAAACCCAACGAACCGTTGAAAGATCTGCATGTCGCGCCAACTGTGAAATTTGGTGACGGTTCGATTATGATTTGGGGTTGCGTGACAGTTGATCTGGGAGAAAATGCTGGAGGATAGTGAGTTTATCTTTCAGCAAAACATACCTCCGGAAAAGCAAAGAAATGGTTCGCTGATAATGACATTGCTTTGCTTGACTTGACTAGCCACCCCAGTCCCCCGACCTAACCCAATCGAAAACCTGAGACAACTTCCTGTGTCACTTTCCACCAAAAGCGAATTGAAGGAAAAACTACAAATCGCGTGGAAGAGCATAGATATCAATTACTGTACAAAAAGGTCATAGAAGCGAGGGGTGGGTCTATGGAGTATATTTAATGCAAGAAATTTTTAGAAGCCGTCAACTTAGCTTAATTAGAAAAACCGTCTTTAAAATTGCCTTCCAACTCGGTCATATTATATGGAACGCTAAAAAAATAAAAAATTTGTCATCTTATTTGTTAGAAGATATGTTATTATTGAACCAAATTTACTTACCTTTACCTGTCGATATTCCCTCAATGGCAAGGTATTCTATTTACATTTTTTCGGCGTTCCGCTTCTTCTGTGAGCCATTGTTGTATATCTCTTAAATTCAACGACACATATTTTTGTAAGTGATTTGATTGGATACTCATTGTATAAGCCATGCACTGAAAATTTATCGTTATTAGATCACTATATACCCAAACTTTGCGCCGAGCATTTTTACATGAAGATAAAGTTCGTTATTATAGTGAAATTTTTAGTTATTGTTTTTCGAAAACAAATTGGGTAAAAATCGGACTCGTTTACTGGACAGACTTTGAGCACGAGAGTGTTCCATCGACTAACTTGCAAATATTTATATAAATAATTAGTATGGAAATCTGACTATTTTTCTATTTAAACCAGTGAGAATAATAGTAACACGAAATGTATGTTTGAGTGAACTAAAAACTAAGCCAAGATTCTTTCACTCTACGTGTATAAAGGCAACTTAAAGTATGATATTGTGGTACAAAGCAGAGAAAGAACATTATCGGTTCTCACAATGCTTCAATAAATTCGCCAAACTGAAGAGAAAATTCACTCATTGAATTACTATTGCACTTATAAAACTGAAATATTACCGACAACGATTTTTAGACAGTTTGCAAAGCAATATTAAACGCGCGTAACACTTAAAAATATAAATAGAAATATCGTAATTATTTTACTAATTTATTAAATAGAAAAGATGCATTTAGAGCTAAATCTTCCATGAATGTGTGTTTAAAATGGAGATGCACGAGTTTAATATATTCTTTATCTTTCCTATGATCATGAAAAAGAATAACTGGAGGTGATAAGGAATGTGCAATCAATTTTCTTGTATGTTACGTAGGAAAGTATTCGAAAATCAGCTGAGAACGGCGATGTCAGAGGTGTACAGTATGCTAAAAAATAAAAAAGGTTTCGAAATCTGCTGAGTCCGGAAATGGACAAGCATAAAATAATTTAGGTTTTTTCGATGAATTAATTGTTCAATTGATCCGATTTTTCTCCAAGCTCGTTGTTTTCTTGTTTCGAGTTATCTTTTTCATTTGAAATTTAATATTAAGATTCTCGTAACTATATTTTGCGTCTTAATTATTGATTTTATATTATTGGTTTTCACTAGCCATAAACTTCCGATTTTTCGCAGAATATTATTTGTTTTTGATTTGGTGTTTAAAGACACTTAAATTTTGATCCATTTTATAAATATCGGATTCAACCTCTTCAATTTATTATAAAGTCGGTTGGGTATAGACTGCACAGAGTTTTGAACAATCCTAATTTTTGTTGATATAACAATTTTGGCATAGATATCGATATACTTGCTGTCCAAACTGGACAAATGGGACAAATTAAGAATTTCCCACACCTTTTAATGTTTTTAATTGAATTAGAAAAACTTGTAAATGTATTGTTTATAGTTAAACTAGATATAAATTTTGTTAAAATTAAAATCTTTAATAAAATTACTAAAATATAATTAATTTGGTCATACTCAAATATTAAATTTACTAAATGTAATTGGGATTTATCCATTATATTTTCGTAAATTTTAATAAATAAATCGTTTCTTTTAACTAAGTTATTTAAATACTTCTCACACTTAGAAAAAAATAAATAAGAAAGAAAAAGTATATGTTTAGACTTTTAAACAACCTTCCAATAAATAAATAATAAACAATGATAGATCTTTAAAAAAAAACAAACATTTACAGCCACACACGACAAGAATCTAAAAGAGAACTTGAAGAAAAAGAAGTATTTCAAAAACACTTTAAAGAATTTCGAGGTCAATAAAACGCGTGTCCACGATTAGTAAATCACATTTATACATAATATTATTTGGTTTTCTTCTAGAGGAATTAATGGAACAGCTCGAGTTTACCGATCTCTACCGGTATCTAGCAATGATGGTAAATGCCTAGGTCATTTGTCATGAGATTTATTTTCAACCAATAGAGTTCAGTGAGTCATTTTTATAATGACGACACAAGTTTAATTTTAATTTGATTGGATAAAAGTCATTTGGGTCATTTATCATCACTGAGTATCTAGCATTACATGAATCAAAGATTGATTGAAAAGGTTTTTATTTAATTTACAAATAATATTATCGTGACGAATAAATTCATTTGCATCTTATCAGTTAATATCGTTATTCTTATCAAATTACATGTAGGATGTTTACATCACAACTACGTACATATATTCGTCAATAATATCAACACGATTCGAGGATTAATTCCCATTACTAGATGATTGGTAATCGAAACACTGGGACTGCAACAAAGAAAAATCTAGAAAGGTAAATCTTTAATTGACTTTTTATTCATATTAAACGATATTAACACAAAAAACAATAGATTCCAACAAAACCCGAAAGCTTTCATGATCTTCAGTGATGTTGTTACTCATAATATTGGTGGAACATGTTCTGGTGACGTAGGTATCCGTGGAGCATTTTTATAAGTAATTTTTTTCATAAAATATATAGATATATTTACATCGAAGTGGTCGAACGGCAGGAGTTCAACGAGAAAGAATAAGCTTGATGTGTCGTCCTGAAGAAATTGTATTATATCGTAAAATTTGTCAAAAAGTAAAATTAATTTTTTTGCGTCGTATTCTTTCAATTGGACAATAAATCTGCGTCAATTGAACATGTAAAGTTCTAACACTAACCTATTACTAAACATTTTTATTTTTATTGTCTCAGATGAAGGTCTGTCCGATTTTCCAGTTGATAAAGTATCGTGTACAGAGAATAACTTTAGCACGCAAAATTGATCAGGAACATAAGTATGTTATTTATTTTTATTATTTGTTAGTGTAATGATTGGTTAAAAAAAGTAGCACAAGACTTGTAAGATTAATGTTTATTTCTTTTTTTAATTGATAATTTAGTTTAAATAAAAACGAAACAACAATAAATGATAATGATGATGACAACATAAACACCAAAAAAATTAAAACAAAAATAAAATCAATGAAAGCACAACTTCAATCGTTGCTGCCGAGACATTGATTTCCCGTGATATTTCGTCAAAGTACTTGACGGGTGGTGTTGTGCGTGATTTTACGGATTGATTGCTTCTGGATAGTGATTCTTGTATATTATTATGTTTATTTTATTTGTTATTGTTTCTAATTTTTTATTTATTTTTTTGTTGATGTTAGTGAATCCTTCACTGCTTGCTTGGGTTAAGCAACAATGACAACAAAAGACTTGAAATCAAAAACGATTAGGAAAAAAGGAATAGATTCTGGTACTAATAACGTCAAAATAATACACTGACCTACGATAAGTCACCATGCATTATTAGCAAAATTTTCGATTTTAAAAAGTATCTATAGTTTTTTATTTACTTAACAACATATTTAAAAAATATATGAATAGAGAATAATACTCGTCTAAAAAAATATTAATAATTTAATAATGTGTATTAATCCTTTAGCTTTAATAACAGCTGCAACTCGTCGCGGCATACTGGAAATTAAATCGCGTACAACATTCTTCCTTCAATGCATCGATTAAATCCTTTTTGGAGGTTGGAGGAAGTTTTCTTTTTCTAATTTGACGATCTAAATGATCCCATATATGTTAAATCGGGACTTTTGGCAGTCTATTCTAAAACGGAAATTATGTGTGTTTACATCCACCAACGAATATAATGCGAAGTAGGACGGGAAGAGCACCATCTAGCTGAAAAGTTGTATAAGAATGATTATTCATCCAAGGAACCAATATTTGGATATAACCATCGGAATTGAGATTGTTATCAACTTCTACCATAGGTCCAACACCATCCCATAGGTTCAACACCATCCCATCCAATGCATCCACAAAACATTACCGCCAATACACCAAATTTTACTGTTGGAACCACACAACTTTCTAAATTTTTTTCAAAAGATTTTTGCCATACTCTTGCACGCTCCAGTTTTTCTTTTCTTTGCACCGCTTTTTTATGTTGAATAGTTAAAAGAGGTTTATGGCTTGCATAGTAAGATCCAAATGATAATAATTTCATATATTTACGAGTGATTTTAAAGTAAATCGAGTTATTAATGTATGCATTTAGTTGATTGGTAATTTTAATGAGTGATGATTTATCGTAGGTCAGTGTATTAAAAGTAAAAATCTATAGGGATATTAGTAGTATAACAGTAAATCAAAAAAATAATATTGAACTATTATGTATTTTTCAGTTCGATAGGCTTGTAACTAAAGTTACTTGCCAAAACATCAAATTTGATATGTTTGTTGGTAAAATTTAATATAGTCTTGGCATTGTAAAACCTGTACATAATATTTTAATATAGGTTTCAGCAAGCGACCTTATCTTATTTGTAACAAGTCCAAGTTTTACTATTGGTTCAGTATTCAAGCTAAACCAAATAATTAATTAGATTAATTAGTTCACAAAATGTCTTTGATGATGTTAATTAACATTAACCGGATGTGCAGAATTTTTCAGATAGCGATAGTACATGATGACGTTTATTATATATAAAAAATATAAAATATGTCATCAAATAATAAACCAATAATTTGTCGATCTGAAAAATCCACAATTTTTAAAATGTATTTAAGGAGAACAGAGAGCTTTCTGCAATATCATAAATCGATCTTTGATCACAATGATATCATTGATGATAATGATGCTGATGCTGAGTTGATGCTATGTACACACACCTACAGTATATTACCGGTAATACATGTATACTGTAGGTGTATGTATAATAAAATACATGTGATAAATTAAAAAATTACTAAAAAGGATAATTTCATAGTTGCTAACCTAAAAAAAAATAACATGTACGTATACGTATGTACTTGTTTCGTAACACTGACTGATTATAATAACTGACTTTTGATAGTTTAATACATGTAGTTTAAAGTTGGTACATGTATAGAAAAAGATTTTTCACAGTTGCTGCTTGCTGTCTTTTATTTCAAAATTGTACATCTTATCGTTATAAATGAAATTGAACCTTAATATTGACATATCGATACGACAGAATATATTCATATTATACTAATGACTACGAAAACGAGGGCAATGTTAATACATGTTTTCGGAACCAAATTCCACATCATGAATTTTTCCAAGTATTTTTTGTATTTAATAATTTTAGCGACGTATTCAAGAATAATATATGTCTCCGCCTATTCTAGTGTCTCATACACCGAAGACCAAGATGAGCTCATAATTTTCGATAGCTATACTGATATATACGGAACAATAGTTTTGCGTATGGTGAAACACAATAGCATCTTGCAATGTGCTGTACCTGGAGAGCTGCGTATGCATCTACGACTAGTTTTCCTGAATGGAACTGTTCGTCCCTTGGATTTCGACTTTCCTGTGAATAAATGGAATTATTGTCCGACTGACTGGATTTATGCGCTTTTAGTAGAACCGAATCTTATTATGTTAAATTATTTTAATTTTTCGGATGCTAAACCCGAAATGAATGGCGTTTATCAAGAGAATGGAGTCTTTGTAGACTATTGGGGAAATATTAAAAAGTAATTTAATTTTTGTTACCATGTGATTATTTTAATAACGAATATGAACTATTACTAAAATATGCATCTAATCAGCATTTTTCAGCTTGGTATTGGGACATCATACGAAAGAAGAGTTTCAATAGGATTTGGCCCTTTAGACGGGATATTAAGAACTTATAAATTGCCTAATGGAGATGTAGGATGGAACAGATTCACAAAACCGTAAATAAACTCTGTAATTCAGATTAATTTTAATGTATATTGTCTTGATAAGATTCTTTCATTTTTAAAGTGATGAAAACGGCCAAATATGGAGTGACGGAGGAGGCTTAATCTACGAAAAATCTATAAAAGAAAACGTCACTCTCTTCAGAGCATTCACTTTACTTGAAGGAGGATTTGGCTGTATTGTAGTCACCCGACCTATAGCTCAAAGTCCACTTGATTTACAGGATGTGTCTTTTCCGAAATGGAGTGCACATATATCATTTTTGAAAACTGGCAGCCCGATCCCGACAAAGCCTTTTATTCTGTATCAGATACCCATAGACTTCATAAAACTGGAGTTTACGCGATGTGCAATAGTCTTTGATGGAACTGGAAATGAATGCATTATGAGAACAGCAGTGAATCGTACAAACACAAATATCGCATCAAATGGCAATAATTCCACAAATGGAAATAATTCTACCACAAATGGAAATAATTCTACCACAAATGGAAATAATTCTACCACAAATGGCCTTAATAATTCAACATTAGCAGATCTAAATAAACCCTTTGAGATAACTTCAAGCATTCATTTTGGAAGTCAAGGCACTGTGCTTGCCATTCAAAAACTAGAAAATGATCCTCAAACCAAAAAGTTCGGTTACTTGTATCCGCTTTTCTATGGCGGATATGTAACACTTGGAGTGGTGAATAGGACAACAAATGAGACGGGCGGCTATATGCTTGGTCGTGATGGTAGCATAAAAGAAAAATGGAGTTTTGAAACATTTATTAATCATTCAACCTATTTTCCTTTGAGCAATACTATATGGGCTGCAAAAAAAGATTCACCAGCAGCTAGAAATTGGACGATAATAACAAAAATATTCCCTAAGCTTAAAGTTGCAAGTATGTTTCTTGTTTATTTGTGATGCTTTTCCAATATACCTATTAATTAACATCGATATCTTTTATAAGCTGCTGATAATCGTTATCGAAATCCAAATATTGATACTACGTTTCCAACAATTGGAGCCGTTATTCCATCTAACATCATACAAATAAGCATTACCTATGACGAGCCTATTATCTTATCATCTGGCAATATTACTATATATCAAGAAGGAAAATATGAATCGGTTGATATTTTTCGTCAAGGATTAAATCAATTGTCGAAAGATTTCCAAATTACCATCCAAGATAAAACAGTATCAATTCCAGTTTTGGACTCAACTTTTAATGTCCCGAATGCTACTTATTATGTGATTGTTGACACAAATTTCGTTCGCGCTTTTGATACCGGTGAAGCATTACTTGGAATGGGTAAAGACAGTTGGCGATTTACTACTGCTACTGGTAAATATTTTTGAAGAAATTTTTTGTTTATATATCTGCTACTATATAAAACGACATCTTTTTAAATCTCTCTTTTAGATCCATTTAAAGCTGGCGGAGGCGACAATAGTATTTATATTTTAAATTATTATCAAATTTATGCTGAATAAGTTTAATTACTGATATTAAATATTCCATAATAGGTAGAAAATCAGGAATAATTCGATTAATATCTGAGGCTACAACAGCATTCAAAAGCTCATTTAAGAGTAATTCTTTCATATATGAAGATATATTAAATGAGCTCGCAAATACAATTCCAATTTCACGGAAAAGACTCGAAATAAATAGAAAATATCAGATAAATGGTGATCAAATTCTTCTTCGAATAACTATTCTACCATCAGAAAATAATACCGAAAATAACGTCAAGCAAATTATAAGTAATTTGAAAACTCTTATAAAACATAAGGATATCACGTCTATTTCAAGATATAAATATACCGAGTGGTTGGACAGCAGTTATGGATTCCAGGAATCAAGTAAATAATCTTTTCTATGATTGGATTTCATACTTTAAAGTGAGTTAATATGAATTATTTTTTATATAAGTCGATATATGGGAAGAATATAAGGTTATATTTATTGTGGCTATTTCTGTCACTTTTTTGATCGCTATTTTGTTTTTAATAGCTTGGCGCAAGAATAAAAAAGTAAGTTTCAGCTTCAATCTTTCTATTTCATTTTTGACAATCGCTATGGTATTTTTAATGATGCAATTCTTTTTTGAAAATCTCTCGTTAATAGGGTCGAAATATTGTTATTCTTACAAGTGCATTGATTTTACAAGATATTATTTTCGATTTTGCATTTGTAATATTTAACAGTAAAGATATACCGGAACTCTTTATCCCTAGGTATATGAAATATAATTAAAACACTGGATATTTCATCACAATTAACAAAATATACATTCTATCTCTTTCAGTTTGCTCACACTAATAATTCCAATAGCCATTAATTGCACAATCGCTCTCTACGTAATATTATCGGAAAATTCACAAAACGATAAATTTAATTCCTGGTTCCGAAAGTATCCACAAGTCGCTGCAGCGTCCACTCTGTTTGCCAGTGGCGATATCGTTATATTGCATGTACTTACTTCTCAAGTGGCAGGCCTTCAAATTTTTTCTGCTACGTTTTCCGAACGTGCAGAGGCCATTCTATTTATAACGAGCACGTTGAATTTGTTCATTGAGGATATCCCGCAGTTTATTATACGGGTAATTGAATATAAATTCTGTATTTAGCTAAATGCAAATTAATAATGATTTTTTTTATTATTTAGTTTTTCCATTGGAAAAATACTGTCGAATACGGTATAATTCCCTTAATTGCGTTATGGACCAGTGCATTAGTATTATTGAACACTTTTATCAGTCGACTATATAATGGGGCAATACAATGTCAGAAAAGACGGAGATTGACAGCAATTAGTACAGAACTCGAGGAAGAAGATACTAACATATAAGTATTTATTAGCTTTAGTTTTAGTTTTAGGATAATACATAAAAAACTTTTTTGAGTTTGTTATGTTGTTTTTTTTATTTTATTAGAACATAAGATTGAAATTGTAAACGTGTTATTTAAACATTTTAAATTTAGGGGTGTACATGTAGTATAGTTAACGTTAATACATGTATATGTGTTAAACAAATTCGATTTCAAAGTTGCACAATAAAATCATTTACATGTAACTTGTTTTTCACGTCAAATAATTTCTATTTACTGTGGCAACCAAAAGTAATGCAACAATTTAATTTTTTAAAATTATTTTTCTCATAAACTGCAATAAGATTAGTGAAACGGAAAATCGTCAACCCACCCGCCCGTGTAGAGATTTCGTACTGTATGATTAAAACTTGATTGGTTGATCAATGAGTTTATCGTTACGATCCAGGTTATACAAGATATATGTAAACTCAAGTACCCTAGCCATGGGCAAAAAAAGGGTCGATTCATGTGATATCCGGAAAAATTCTACGGTAAAAGAGGTTATTGTTGAAGGTTAATTTAAAGGTTAAGATTAGGGTTGGGGCTAGAGCTGGCGTCAAGATTATATGTAAAATTGCCTTCCCGACTCTTTTTTTAGTGTATCAAGCTGGATTTAGGCGTCTATTTTTTTTTACTTTTTCATTTTCGAATTTGTTTTGCCGGGCTGATTAAAAATTTACAAATTTTTATTGGTTTGTGCCACCAGCAGCACGTGAATCGATCCTTTTGTTGCCATGGCTAGTGTTCTTGTTAATTCAAGAGTTGTTGGAACTAATGAATTAACAAAGGAACAATTAGTGAAAGAACAAAGACTGAATGGTTTATGATTAATGGGATTCACTAAAGGTTCTAAAGATCTCCTGTGATAATTTGTATACAAACTAACTTAATCCTTCCCTGCTTCATAATCAGGATCTTTATTCCTAATTTCTTCAATCTCTTTTATACAACTATATACAGTATAAGGAATATTTTGTTTATATTCGACTCGTGCATTGTCTCAGTAGTAATCAAACCATTCTTGAAAAGTTTCCTTTTCTAATTTTCATCCTACTACCAAAGATTAAGATAGGGACAAAGAGGTGAACTAAATAAAAAGAATATAATAAAACTAGTATAATTATTTAATAAAAATAATAGAACTTATTGAAACTATCTAATAAAATTAAATAATAATTGAACTTATTAGGCTACAAATAAAAATAAAACAAAATAACCATAAAATATACTAAATAAAATAAACAGAACTTATTAACATGACCTAAAAATGATAAAATAAATAATAAAATTAATGGTTTATTTTGAGTAAAGAAGTATCTATTACTTGTAAATCTACTATTATTTTTGTGATTATCTTCAAATTTTGACTACAAGTAAGATATTACAAGTAAAAACTTTGTTATTTTTTTTTAGATCAAAGCATAAGAGTTTCGAATAATAAAAGACTCTTTTTTATATATTTTCAATAATTTTTCCTGTGAAAAAACATGATTTTTTTCAGAATCTTTTTAGGATTCAGAAAATCTTCCAGAAAATTTAACCTAATATAAATCTAATAAAAATCTTAATACTAATTTTCAACCAGCTTTTATTAGACTTAGATCAAGTTAATATTTTAAAATATATTTTGAAATAATCTGAAAAATATTTGAAATAAATCTGAGATAAGCTGATTAAAAATCATTATTCGCTTTATCCCAGATTTAATTCAGATATTTTTCAGATTATTTTGAAATATATTAATCTAATAAAAGCTGGCTAAAAATCCATATTAAGATTTTATCAGATTTATATCAGATTAAATATAAGAAATAATTTGTAATATCTAAAATACAAATTAATAAATTATTAAAAATTTGTTAAAAATATCAATTTTTATCAGATTAATTACAAAAAATAGTCCAAAAATGAATATTAATATCAAAAAATAATCAAAAATATATGATTATATTGTTGTATACTACTATTTTAATCAGTCAAAGAGGGATTTTACGCAATCAGAATGAGAACTAGACTGAATTATTTATAAGTAAAGAGTTTTTTGGATGTTTTAAAGATTTCTGTGATAACTTGTATGCAAATTGATATTAAAAAAAATATGAGAGTGAAAATAATGATATAATAAAAAGTAAATTAATTTAATTAATATAACACAATAAGACTTATTGATATGAACTATTTAACAAAATAATTCAATGAAAAATAATTCAAGAAAACTTATTAATACAATCTGAACAAAGAAAAATCAAAATAATAATAATATTAAGAAATATAATTAACAGCTTATTTAGAGTAAAGGAATATTCACTACATATAACTGCTTACAAGATTTGAAGTTTGACCAGAAATAATAAAATAATAGTATATTTACAAGTAATATTATTATTACAGATAAGAACTTTATTATTTTATTTGATCAAAGTATATCTTTCACAAACTCTTTATACTTCTTCTATTTATATAATTTTCAGGTTATAATACTAATTATAAGTATTATATCAATTATTATACTAATTTTAAAATTAGTATTTTCTTTGATTATAATTTTCTAGAAATAATTATTTGACTATTTTTCTGCTATAAATAATTATTTTCTTCTAGATAATTGACGAATAATAATAAAGGTGAAAGAAAATAAAAAATTATTTGTAATAAATTATTTTTTATTCTGGTTAACAATATAATTAGCATGAAATAATTAGGTTCTTTGTAAAGATCACCAAAATATTTGCAGTAAGATTTTTATATAAAAATTAGTTGAATATTATTGTAGAATTAAAAGATTTATTATTATTATAGTAATAGTATTTTGATTTTTATTAATTTTATTAGTTTTTATCAGATTAAATACAGAAAATAGTTCAAAATATAAAATATTAATATTAGAAAATAACCAGAAATATTTAATTTTATTTTAATTTTATTATTTATTGTTAGATTAAGTATAGAAATTAATTAAAAATATGAAATATTAATTTTTTAATTTTTATCAATTACTAATAAGATAAATTTATTAATTATTATAAATAAATTATATCAACTGAGATAGTTTTCAATTTTAATTTTAATAAAGCTTATTCTTTATTTATTAAATAATGAAAAGATCTAAAAAGCTATAGTACAAAACAGAGATATTTAAATACATAAATGATATTTAATAAATTAATAATAAAATAGAGAGTGATTAGTTCTAAATTATTACTCTTAAAGGTGACGCATCTTCAAGTTATACTATATTTAATAAGATATATATAAAATATAAATAATAATAAAAAGTAATTAACACAAATTAAAAATAATAAAAGAAAAAGAAAAGAATAAATAAAAGAAAAAAATTAAAAACAAAATGTGTTTAAATTAATAATATGATCTGTATTTTATTTCTAATCTATTTGGCAAAATATTAAGAAGCATTAAATATAGATCTGTGTTAATTTTTAACATGTTATACAAAAAAAATGATAAATATAACATGAAAAATAATAGATATAATACAAAAAATTACAAGAATATATGAAAATTATTACAAATAAATTTATCTCAGAAATTTAATTATATAGTCAAATTTTTTTTATAATCACTATCTTTAGAAAAGTAAAAATTTAATAACTATAAAAAGAATATAATTATAAAAAGTTTTTTTACTATTTTATATATTATTACAATAGTAATATAAAAATCACAAATTCAAAAATAATCAAAAAACATGAAAATTCCAAAAATATTCATATAATGATAAAATTTTCTAATATTATTTCACTTTATTATTTCACTTTATTATTTCACTTTTCATTTTTTCACTTTTATTTTTCACTTTTTGATTATTTCACTTTTTATTTTTTACTTTTATATATTTTTTTGACTTTTTACTTTTTATTTTTCACTTTTATTTTTCACTTTTTAATTATTTTACTTTTTATTTTTCACTTTTACATAAGGATGCTTGCCTAAATCCTTTCAGAAAAATATCGTCATAATTTTGACGGGTTACACACTAATTGTTAATTAGA